ATTTTTTCAAGTAAAATTAACAATCTTTTAGACTCTATAACAGACTGGTGTAAAATTCCTAATCTACTCAAAGCTAAAGTGGTATCTATCTCATTGAGTTTGATAAGGATAGCCTGAAAGCTATGAATCAATAAGTTATATGTACTTATGATCCGTGTCTCAATATGATTAAAGTGTTCTCTTTCAACTATATTGCTAAGTTATGTGATAGTTATATTATCTTTATTACTCGTAATTTGAATTAGATTTTCATTTAATTTCAATGTAGAGTTGGTCAGAGCTTGTGCAATTTCTGTGATCAACGTCATTCTGTTTTCATTACAATTCTGTTTTAATTTTACTTCTGTGATTAATTTATCGTATCTAACGGCATCATTATCGAGATTTCCAGTGATTACCTTAATTAATGAACCTATAGTGGGTTAAGTATACCGCGTCTTGTTCTAAAAAATGGGTTATTTGTTCAAGCTTATTAATAGTCAAATTGTTAATATTATATTCTACTTGCATTTTAATATCTACAAAATTATATGAAAAAATCTTATTTAAATTATTAACTTTTACATCCTCTATGAATGTTTTGAGGTCTATTATTTTAGCAACGATCCATTTATTATTACTGATGACAGCAATTCCTTGCTTCACGGGTAGTATTCTAGGAATACTATTTAGCTCCTGAAGTCGAAGGGCCTGGAGGCTTGTAGTGGCTACTACCAAGGCGAGCAGGAGGTGCCTGTGTAGGGCGTTTACATTCTTCAGAGGAACTTTACTATCACGTCCTTTAATGCTTACGGGAATAGCATTTCTACAAGTGGTATCGGTTACTAGGACCTTTTGAAAACGTGGTTTATCTTTACTACTCCTTTTATTAGTACCTTTTGTGTAAATAGTATCTCCGGGTTCTAGTTTAAATTCCGTTTCTCCACCTCTCTTTTCAATAATCTTTTCTTTCTTTTGTATGGCTTGTTTTGTTAGATGTTTATTGAGGTATTTGGTACGCTTTGCATGTTCTTTAACTAACTGTTAATACTGTTTTTCAAAATCTACGTCAAATGTATGTCCCGAGTCTGTATGTCCTAACAAAACTTCCAAAGGTATTAAACCTGTAGTAGAGTGTATGCTATAATTGTATGCCATTATTGCGGATGTCATTATAGAAGAGGTATCTGTATATTTGTGTTCATACTTTACTAATTTATATGCTTACTTCCAGGATGGTTAGGGAGTTAGGAGTGCCAATGTGAATTATATTTTGTAAAAGGGTATTCTATTTTGTAAAAGAATAGAAATTCTCTAAGCAAAGCATTATTAAACTAAGATCCGGGAAAATTTGCTGAAGGTATCAATTATTGTTAAATAACAGTGACCTTCGATTTTAAAAAGATCTATGAAAATTTCTTCAAGAGGCTCATTTTGGGTTTGCGTTAGTTGGAGTTTAGGTTTTATGGGGTTCCGATCATATTTCGTACTTTTACATGCGCCACATGAATTTATGACACCGGCTATAATTGGGGTCATATTATGCCAAAAGTATGAGTGTTTAATATTCAATGGGGTTTCTTTAATACCACGATGGCAAGTTTTTTCTACATGATATTTCTGAACTATGTATCTTTGTTCTTTTTCATTATCTACATATACGACTCTTTTAGTGCATTCGAAAAATTGTACAAGTTCCTTTTTAAACAAGAAAATTACTAATTCCGTAAATTGTGTACGGTGTTCTTCATTTTCGATGTAAATGAGGTATTTAATTTTATTCCTAATATATTCTTTCAGAAATTGATTTACTAAATCTGGTCGGTTTAAAGGTAAGTTACTTCAAGAATTCTTTGTTTTTTCCCTAGACAAGTTTTTTACAGATAATTTGTCTATGTTCCATCTGGACACTAAAATTGATTGGGTTTGGTGTCGATTGCTTCCAGTAAGATTGGAATTCCCTGTGATTCAGTGTCTTGTTCTGAATATGCGGTTTCTACACTAGAGAGTTTTTCAGAGGCTGTTAATGTGCTAATAGAAATGTACGGTATGGAATAATCGGATTTCATAGCTTTCTCACAGTCTGTGTCCGAAATAGACATAGGTTCCGGAGGTGATTATCAATATGTCCTTTTTTTGCAATTTGTAATTTTTTAATGTCTTTTATTAAGTCCTGAATATTATTTTTGTCTTCATCTTTATCTAAATTTGCATGAGTGAATGAAATTTCCTTTTTATCTATTAATTAATTAATAGCATTAATTCTAATTCGCGACAAAGCATCCGCTTAGTTCTGCTTACCGCCTTTATAACAATGTTAACGAGAGTTTAACCAGGCTTATGATCGGTAACAATCGTAAACTTTTTGCCAAAAAGATATGGACGGAAGTGTTTGATAGCCCAAACTATTGCTAGCAGTTCCTTTTCAGTTACACTGTAGCGTGTTTCGGCATCGTTAAGAGTTCGAGTAGCATAAGCAATGGGTTTGTCTTAGTCCTTGTGAAAGGACGGCACCTAAAGCAAATTCTGAGGCATTTGTAGTTAATAGTTATAACGGTTAAGAGGGCATTTGTCAGAAGTTCTTTGCATTTTTCAAAAGACTACACATTTATTGTCGTCAAGAGGCATAGAGCGTTTCTTTTTCAAACGTGCTGTCATGGGTTGAGTTACTTTAGCGAAATCTTTTATAAAACGTCGGTAATAGCCTACCTGTACGGTGTAACCGCACATATCGCCCGATCAGCATTTTCGCCTCATACACTTATTTTTATTGTTCATCGAATCAGTTCACATAGCATCGCCACACAGCGCGTTCGTGTACTCATCCTTAGCTATTAGCAGTTTTTACCTCAAGCAGCATACTTTATTTATATCATCAGCAGCAGCATTTTAAGGTGTAACATACATCTTTATGGTTCTTCGAGCTTACCGTGAGCGGGACCTCTGTCGCGAGTGACCTAATTTGAATTGCGAAAGCGGTACGCGCCACGTAAGTCAAACAGCGACAGCATCGGTAAGTCTACAGCTCTCTATTATAATCAGCAACTACAGTAATTGTTCAAAATGGAAGATCTTCTAGCTAGCCAGAACCAAATAATGGTAGCTATGGATCAGCTCCAAATCAACTTTAAAAAAGACTGTGCCGACCGCAAGACACCGGCTCATATTAAAAAGCGACTTAGCATTTTATAAAGTTAGGAGTTTCAAAGTAATCATTTAAAGCTTTTTGAGTCTGACGATAAATCTCATGAATATTTTACTGGCAATTACTATAAAAGAACGTCCGATTTTTATAACGGAACGCGCAATTATATTCTTAATTATTTACCGAGTGACTCTAAAGAAAAAAGTCTTCTCAGGCCAGCTACCCCATTGCAAAAAACAGGCTTTTCAGCTATACCATCTGCCAGCACACTCCGTCCTGAAACTACTGCTGACGCAGAAGCATCCCGAACCCAAGGTACTAGCAGCAAGTTAGAGGATATGTTGAGAAAGCAGAGAAGCAACTTCAAAGCTTTTCAGCGAACTATTAGCAGCATCGATCTCGACAAAGTCTCTGAAAAATGGGAGTATGAGGATATTCTGAAGTCGGTTCAGGCACGCTGGACGATAATAGACGCCTTGCACTGGAAAATAGACAGCGAACTGTACGAAGATAATGAAGAGTATGAAGAAATGTTCAGCAGCTATGAGCAAAAATTCAATAACATGAAAAAAGTTATCAACAGCAAGATGTGGTCTGATCTTTACAGGGAGAAGACAACCCCAAAAATGGACATCCCCATGTTCAGTGGGAGGTACCACCAGTGGTTGTCGTTTAAGGACTTGTTCGTCGAAGCTATACATAGCAACAGAGCCTTAACAAACTGTCAGAAAATGCAATTTCTGAAAAGAAAATTAAAAGGGGAAGCAGAGAAAATAGTGCAACATTTACAGATAAGCACAGATCACTATCAAGTATGTTGGGATCTTTTAAACCACCGGTATAACAACACAAAGCTTATTTTTAATTCTCATACAACAGCAGTCAGCATCAGCAATCAAAAAGATTCATGATACCACCAATGAATGTCTAAATGCCATCAAAAACCTGGGAGTCAACATAGAGAATTGGGACCCCATGATTGTTTACTTAATTACTCAGAAATTAGACGCGGACACACATAACGACTACATCGAGTCACTGAAACACCCAAGAGATTTACCGACTGTAAAAGATCTATTACAATTTTTGGAGGTTAAATTCACAGCCCTAGAGTGGTCAAAACGAAAACTGGACCTACAGAAGTCAAATCAGCAGCCGCAATAATCATCTCAGCCATCTAATTTCAAAAAACCATTAGTTTTTAAAGCATTCATGAGCAATCAAAATCCGTCATTTAAATCAAATAATTTCAATAATAAAAGTAGTTTAGCGTCCGCACCGAAGCAAAAATGCCCAATCTGCAATAAGGATCACGCCATTCCGTATTGCGAAACATTTTCAACATATCGAGCCGATTTTAAGCGACAAATAATATCTAAGCTATCTTTATGCCAAAACTGCCTTTATAATCATAACAGTAATGAATGTTTTTCAAAGAAAAGGTGCCATAAGTGTCAAAGCAATCATCATGCACTGGTTCACGAAGCCTTTACCGTATCAGCAAACGCTGCAAATCCGAGTGCAACGACCGACCGCGCGGTGTCAAACTCATACGTGTCTCTGGAGGACACTCAGGAGATTTTATTGAACGACCACGCGTTATTGTGGACGGACGTATTCAGACTATCAAGGGATTTTAAAAAACATTGTAAACAGTAAATATTTTTGAAAAAGTGTCTTATTGCTATAGTCATAATATTGAGAATCGTAGTCAACTTCGATGATCGACGGGTGCAGTCAAACATCAGTCTACGTGTAACTGCGATCCCCAAACGAACTCTCGAACTTCATACTGCAACGCACAAAGATCGGTAATATATAAAGATATTCGCACATTCATAGATTAATGAACGTAAAGAAGTGATATTTTTTGATAATGCAGCGCTCTCCAACAAATAAACGTTTTGATTCCGATCCGGATCTATCCAACATTGTCGCTCGAAAACGCAAGTATGATCACGATATTTCAGATTCATTCAAATTATTCACTGATAATATATTGAAAAAGATGGATGATTGGAAGACGGATTTTAATAATAATTTACTTCAAATAAATGACACTATAAATAATTTGATTAAGAACGACCTTGCAAAACTGAACGAGATTGTAGTCGAGGTGAAGGCAGAGATCAATAATATGCGTAAGGAATACACAGAGATTAAGACTGACATAGTAAGATTAAAAACTCAGCAAGTGGCAACACAAAAAGAAATTAATAGTCTCCAGCAGTCGGTACAATTCAATGCTGACCAGCAAGACGAGCAAGCAAAAAAAGATTGAAACTTTAGCTGTCGATACTAAGAAAACACGTGAAATAGAGGTGGAAATTGTTAAAATAAAACAGCAAAATATGCAATTACAATCACAACTGAACTCAAGTGAACAGAGAGAGAGATTATCAAATATTGAAATTGTCGGTGTGCCGGAATGCAAAAGCGAAAATCTTCAAGACCTTATTTTGAACATTGGAAAACATATTGGTGTTGATATTCCGCCAAATGATATTTTACAAGTGAATAGATTTTCTCCGAAAATAAAATTACAAGGTCGTCCCAGAGTCATAATAGCTAAAATGCGAACAAGGCTCTTGAAGGACAACATAATTTCACGGGGCCGCAAAGCTCGGATTACCTCAAGAGATATCGATGTAACAGGAGAAAACAGACCCATATATATTAACGAACATTTAACCCCCCTTTAATAAACAACTATTGAAAAAATGTAAGGAATTGGCCAAAATAAAACAGCATCAGTTCGTCTGGGTAAAAAATGGGTTAATATTCGTGCGAAAAAACGACAACTCTCCCGCTTTAAAGATCATAAGCGAAGAGGATCTCAAGAAACTAAGTGTTTCCAAATAAGTATTCTCTTTAATAATCTTTTCTCGTTGTTAAATTTATATATTTCCGTATTATATAATGTGTACTGTATTTATAACGTTAATTGTCTAAGATATGTCTCAATAGCTATATTTAGTTTAAATTCTCAATATTTAATGTTTATGAAAAAACCTTTATTTGCCAGCTCTGTTCGGAATAGGTACTCTATGCTAGAAAACACGTTACTTACAATGTTATTTGTACGCTTAATTAATGTGCATCGAACTGTGCACGGTCACATTTCATGTACAAAAGCTAACATTACAAAAATTTTGCAGAATATAAATGATGCAGCTAATAAATTATTATTTCTTTGTCATAATGGCACTGATAACAAAAATTATCTCTTTCTTAAAAATATAATTTACTTTGCATATTTCAAACAAAATTATCATAAACTAACATTAAGCCGCTTAAAAATCACTGTTTTTGATATATTAATATTTAACATCAAATTCTATACATATACGTTATCATTAAAATCATTTATCGCACCTGTTTATAGTGATGGACCTATAACGCATTTTAACTTCACTGTCTTATTTATCACTGCTAAAAGAATATTAGTGCCGGAGCGTAAAAATAAATTCTTACAATACCTTCAAATAGTTAATAATAATGCATTATTTAAACTTTCAATATGGATTTATTTATACATTTTATTCGTTCTGTTTACATTAGTGGGAAACTTAAATATTAACACATATTTATATACATGGTTTACAAAGGATGAACATTTAATACGTTATACTATTTCGATATTTATATCAAATGAATCAAACACGAAAACTATTCATCGCTTTTTTCTGTCAACCTATAATCAACATCACTTTTGTACACAGTATTGTAATCTGTGTTTTTGTGTTTCAGCCCCTGTATTTTACAAAACATTTATATTTATTAGTAATATTTTCCAGTTGTATAATAACTTTTATACTATAAGTTGTAAACAATTGGTAGCATTCTAAGTTCTAAGTTCGATACGTTAAATAAAAGTAAAGATCTAAAAATATATTATCAAAATACACGGGGGCTGAGAACTAAATGTTTGCAATTAAGACAGCAGATTTTAAGAAATGATTATGATATTATTGTAATAACTGAGACATGGTTGCATAACGGGATTTTCGACGGAGAATTATGTGACGATCGGTATGAAGTTTTTCAGTGTGATCGAGACTTATTATCATGCGATAAAAAGACAGGAGGCGGGGTCATGATCTTAGTGCGTAATGAGTTATGTGCAACTCCTTTAGTCACTGACTGTCTGAATAACTGCTCACCGCCTCATATGTTAATGCTGTTAGTACCGGCACATGCAATTTCTGCTACTGCAGATTTGTACATTATTGCGATTTACATCCCTCCTAATGTTTCACATATGCCAGATGAAATAGATTACTTACTGCAAACACTAAAATCTGTGGTAATCTCAAATAGTACTGATAAAAATATTTTAGTTATCGGTGATTTTAATCTTCCATGCATCTCATGGAGTACTCAGGGCCCAACACATTTAAATAAAGGCAATGCTGAAATTAAAAGTGCTGGTGTAAGGTTAACAGATGAACTGAGCTTTCTCGGTCTCAAGCAATATAACAGTTTTAAAAATTATGCCGGTAATACTTTAGATTTGGCATTTTCAAATCTTCCACTTGAAATCGCAATTTGCAACTCGCCCTTTATAAAGGTTGACCGCGCCCATCCTCCGTTAGTACTGGAAATTTTAGACGTCTCAATCACACCGTTTACTGAAGCATCTAAGCCTAAATATGATTTCAATAAAACCAATTATGATAAACTAAATGAAACTCTAAATAGCATCGATTGGCGAACACAATTACAATCTAGCACGGTCCAAGAGGCTTGTGATAACTTTTATAATATAATAAATGATGCTATATGCCAACACGTACCACTTAAGTCCTATCATAATAAATATAAATACCCTATCTGGTACAGTCCCGCTTTAATAAAAATAATTAAAGAAAAATCAAAAGCACACAAAAAATGGAAACGGTCTGGCAATTTATTAGATTATGACGAGTTTTCATTATTACGTAAACGACAAAATCGGGTTCAGGATGCTTGCTTTGCTATATATACTCAACGTACCGAGGAAGCCATTAAATACAAACCGAGGTTATTCTGGTCATACGTTAAGTCTTTGCGTGGTGGATCGAATTATCCAAAACAATTATCATACCTCGGCAATAAATAACGGGTGGTAAAGAAATATGTGATACTTTTAATACTTTTTTCAAAAACGTTTTCGGTGACCCTTCTGATAAAATATTAGAAGAAAGCTATGCCACTTCTATATATGATAATATATCTAAACTGTTTATCCCTACATCCACTATTGAGAAAAGACTGTCTAAGTCTTTTCTCAATAGTGGATGTAGGGTGTACTTGATATTTCCAAAGGAGCAGGATGTGACGGCATTCCCCCTTTATTTTGGCGTAACTGTGCTAAAACTTTGTGTGTCCCTATCGCTATCATTTTTAATATGTCTCTTAGCGAAGGTGTATTTCCGGATATATGGAAAAGAGCACACATTGTTCCTGTACATAAAAAGGGAACTAAAACTAAAATTGAAAATTATAGGGGCATTTCAATTTTAAATACTATTGGCAAAGTTTTTGAGAAAACCATTTATGATGTTATATATCCCGTAATATGTAAGGGACTGCCAAAAACTCAACACGGATTTCTAAGGTATCGTTCTACTATCACTAATCTGGCGTGCTTTTCTAACTATGTTTTGTCTAATATGGATGGAGGCGGTCAGGTAGACGTGGTCTACACGGACTTCGAAAAAGCTTTCGACCGTGTGGACCATGTCATTTTACTGAATAAACTACAATTGTTAGGCATACATGGAGATTTACTCAGGTGGATAAAATCCTATTTGAGTAACAGATCCCAGGCTGTTGTAATAGGTGGATATAGATCGGACTTTATCAAAATACCAACAGGCATTCCTCAAGGATCACATCTGGGGCCTTTACTGTATAACGCTTATATTCACGATATTACTACTTGTTTTAAGTTTTCACAACATTTAATGTACGCCGATGACAAAAAAATTTTTTACAATATCCGTACTGAGCAGGACTGTCATCAAATGCAAACTGATTTAACCGCTTTATCAGCTTATTATACTGCTAACAACATAACAATTAATATTGATAAATGCGAATGTATTAGCTTCACACGTAAAAAAAACCCTATTTCATTCTCCTACAATTTTAACGGTATTCCAATACAAAGAACATCTACTGTTAGAGATTTAGGAGTTCATTTTGACAATAAAATGCTTTTATCAGAGCATGTTGACGAAATTGTTAACAAGGCTTTTAAAAATCTTGGATTTGTGATGAGAACTTGCAAGCCTTTTAAAGATATTAATACCCTTAAAATTATGTATAATGCTTATGTTCGCAGTATATTAGAATATGCCAGTCCAATTTGGTCTCCCCAATACGCTACTTATAAAAATCGTATAGAACGCATACAGGAAAAATTCATCAATTATTTAAATTATCGTTTTTTCAAATCACCACTTGTAACCTATGAAAATACTTGTCAATCATATAATTTATTTACACTCGAAAACAGACGTAAATTAATGGACGTATGTTTTTTGTATGGTATTGTCCGTGGACAGGTAGACTGCCCTGAGTTGGTGGCGAGCATAACATACAAAGTACCGTCGCGTCGTGTCCGCCGTCGGCCGCACCCTTTATTGCATGTGCCGTTTGCTGGCACCAATTATGCACGTAATGCGCCTATAAACCGAATGCTCAGGACATACAATGAGATCTTTAGTGATATAGATCTCTTTGTTTTTAGTAAACCAGCCTTTAAAGCTAAAGCTCTTAAAATTCTAAATGAGGTGCAAAACGAGTAAATCATTTTGATTTGCTTAATCATGATGATCATCATTACATCCCTTCATAAGTCCACTGCTGAACGTGGACCTCCCCCAGGGAATGCCACAAGGCACGATTCTGAGCCGCATGCGTCCGTCGACTTCCTATGTCTTACCAGGTCGTTACTCCATCTAGTAGGACTCCCTACACAAAAATAAATAAATAGTAATGAACATAAATCAACTCTATTATAATATGAAAATGAATTCATACTTTGCATCATTTAGTATAATCATTTCTTACTTGATTGTTGAGTGTAAATCTGACATAAGTGTAACGGTTTAGAAAAATAATAAATAAACAGGTGTGATATTTCATATTTCATATTTCATTAAATTAAATTACATAAAAGAATGTTCTGCACTGGCTGCATCTGAATCGGAAGGTACATCTGAATTTGAATTTTCGCGCCAAACTATGCATTGATAAAGTTGGTCGTCAGGATGCACAATTATTTGCCTGAAC